GACAACTGATGAAGGAGAGGAAACCATGGTTGAGCAGAACAAAAGACGTGCACCAACAGGACCTGACAAAGAGGAGGATAGACATACAGAGAGGTGAGACCAGCTTTGGTTGAGAGCATAAACTGTAAGAGCCAATAGATTAGGAACTGGTGACTAGAAGAGAGGAAGTTTGGCACAAAGAGTAGTGGCAAAATAATCAATGAGGGGCATGCCCAACTGAAACCAAACTGAATGAAAACCTTAAGTATGGAGAGATCACTCCATGGGTAAAATACAGTCTGGCCAAAAGAGGTGATTTGCCACCAGTTTCAGGGCACATGATAAACTATGAGATGTACTTGATGGGAATGAACCCTAAACAGCAAGTCCAATGTACGAAAGCAAAGAGTCTTGGAAAAAGTACCTTCCTAATTGTTGATGTAATAAATGACCAAGGAATTGTCAGAATGGATCATGACCAAACAATCCACAAAAGAAGGTAAGAAATGGGAACAGTGAGAAGTTCAGTGATGTTGCTGTGAAGTGAATGCTTCTCCGGAGCCCACATGCCTGAAATCATATTGTTGGTCAGAGGTGCACCCCAGCCTGAAAGAGAAGCAGCTGTTAAAAGGACATCCAGTTGGGGCAGTAAAGAGAGGCCAAACATGGTACTGGCACAGTTGAGCAAACAGGACAAGTCTTTGAGAAGAGGAGAAGGGAGGTTCACAATCGAGGACAAAGATTCTGAGAGAGGTCCCACTGGTTTTGCAACTTCCATTGGAGGAGGAGCATGTGTGCATGGCCTAAAAGAATGAGTAATTCATGGATAGCCAGTCCCCAATAATGAGAGATGTGTAGGGTGAAAGTAAGAATTTCAAATCCTGACAACTAGACATTTCATCACTCGCATATGATGTGAAGGTTGAGTTCAACTGCGATTAGAGTTGAAGAACACACCAAGATGTACAAAGTATCAGGTAGGCATAAAAAGAATACTTTGAATGCTTGACTAGCCAGCCCAATCGGACAACCTCATGTAGTAGTATAGAGATGTGAGAGGAGTTGTTCCAAAAAGGGACAAATATAAGCCAATCATCCCAACTCATGAACTTGAGTAGGCCTAGAGACTGAAACAGAAGGACAAGCTAAGAACAAAAAGGAGGACAATGAGGACTGATGCACAACAGCCTCAGCCTGGGACTCCAGTCAGAAACACCGCCAAAGATCTCCGGGGAAAGAAAGGTAGCTAAAGTGGTAAAAAATGTAAAAATGAGAGAAAGAACCTCACCAGAAAATCTATCTAGAGCACGATGAAGTGCTTAAGAAATAATATGAAGCGACAAGAGATAATGTAAGAGGGTGGTAAGAAAGAGGAGAAAGTGGGCATTAGAAAGTGAAACAGAAGTTAAGGAATCCGGAGGAATGACACACTGGAGACAGTGCAATGAGTGTCTGTGATTCCCTACTTTGAAAAGTAGATACACCCGATTGTAGGAAGCACTGGCAATTAGGGATGGGCAGAAATCCACATCTGCTTTACTCCTGATGTCCAAGAGTGACAGTCCTGTATAAATGAAACTCGTAATTTTTAGTAAAAAAACAACAAAAAACACATACCACCCGAAAAGCTGCCGGTAGTCTTACAGAACTACCCCATCTCAACAGTGAATGTTATAGATTTCAGTCACCTTACCACTTCAAATCACTTTTCGCAGCCCCAATGCTAAAACAGCATGGGAAATGCCTTCTTTTTGGCCAATAAAAATGTCCAAAAAATTTTGGTACAAATTAAGAAAAATTGGATTAGGTATTTGTTGTTTTTTCAACAAAAATGTCCCCCACTGGATGGTGAGGAGACGGTTAAACTACAATAATTTTATTTCATAGGAACAAATCAAAACGATAAGAGCAATGCCGTGTTTTGGTAAATTTTCACACTACTGTTAACTAACTATGAGGTTTTTCATAGCTGATAAATCCAGTTTAGATGAGAACTAAAAAACAAATTAGAACTGAGTATAAAAAATAGTATATACATATTCTAATATAAAACATGACCTGATCCCACAAATTCATATGGCTATCATGATCCCTATACATAAAAATATGCCACAGTTCCCCAATACTTTATAGTAGTCATGGTCCCAGTAGGTTAACAAAATGACCCAAACATCACAAATTTTTGCTGACCACAAATCCTTGTCTTTATTATAATCATACAGCTGATAATTCCTTAGTATTTAAGCTAAGTGTAAGACCTTTCTGATTAAATAAAAGATGTGAAAAATAATTGTTACATTTGTCTGAATCTTGGATCTAATGCATTAGAAAGTTTCACTACAAAGACTAAGAATGGAACCTTTAAATGAATACAAGAAACTACTTAAGAAGTCTTGGGGTTGAAAGATCTAAACTTTCTATGCTGAATCCTGGATTTGAACCTCTATCCTTGTTCAATGACAATCTCAAAGTTTTACTGGTAACACCTTGCTGATCTAAAGCCAAACATACTATGATAGGTAAGACAAAATGAAATATCAATGCCCAAAAGTTCTGATTTTAACTTCAATTACCCATAAATTGGACTTTAACACTGCATAGCTGTTTATCTTGCTAGTACATACCACTTTCATAAAACTGAACATGCATTTCAAAAATTGTAAGAGAAAAGGATAGTTTTTTGGGACACAAATGGCACACTATACAACATGTTAGTTGACAACCAAGTCAGAGATCCCTAAAGTTCAGGTATATCTATTCCTAACTTAGAACTGCTAACCAATCAACACCATCTGCAGTTATTTTTAACCAAGCAAACAATGGAATTGACTGTCACAATTATAATGTTCCTATAGCTGAAATCTGGAGTATAATCAGCAGCTACCATCACGGACCATTCTATCGATGTCATGGCATACTATCCATCAGGCTATGACCAACTCAAATGAAAGAGAAATGTGCTTAATGGGATGACATACTTTTGAGTACTCTTTTACACTTACTTATCATTGATAATAAGAGACCAATTACGTTTAGGAGAGTTGATTACGAGAATAATATTTACAGTCTCAGGTATCACATCAATAAAAAAAAGGTTTTTTACTCACAAAATATGGAACTACTGTGTAAATTTTTACAAATAGCATATTTCAGGTAAAACCAGCTAAAAATCAAAACCATAAAATACTAATTTGGCAAAACGCTAGTGTTTTTAACTTTTTAATCTATATTATCCAATAAGAAAGTTCTATTCTGCAACATAAATAGCATTATTGTATGACTAGTGTATATTGTTAAAATACCGATATTCTTCAGTTGAGTATGTAGGTACTAATCTTTAAAGAAAATTGAGTGACATCACCATTTTGTTTATATATGGTATTAATGTTCCTCTTGCTCAATTTTGTATAAACC